ATTACACTCCTAAATATACTCCTCAAGTTAACTTGGTGGAAAGGTACAATAGGACAATAATAACCTGTATATCAATGTATGTGGACGACGATCATAGGTCATGGGATTTGTTTATTCCCGAGGTTCAATTCGCAATAAATAACTCCGTCAATGAGGCTACAGGATTTACACCTTCATTTCTAGTATTCGGTCGGGAACTTGTTACTTGCGGCTCACATTACGTTGACAACGACCACGACAGCGAATTAATATTTTTACCTCGTGACGCTTACGCCGAAAATTTGGGCAAATTGTCCGTTATTTTCGATGACGTACAAAAACGGCTATGGCAGGCCCATGAAAAAAACACTACACGTTACAATTTGAGACGTAAATTTGCCGAGTTCAACGTTGGTGACATAGTTATGAAGCGAGCTTACTTCTTAAGTGACAAGGATAACTGTTTTTCCAAAAAGTTGGCCCCAAAATTCATTAAGGCTAAAATTATCACTAAAAAGTCACCCTTAGTTTATGTGTTGCAGGATATGAACGGTAAAGACCTAGGCACCTGGCACATTAAAGATTTGAAGTTAGTTGGTGTTAATAAATAGTTAAGTTCTTTCTATTTTTTCTTTTGCAAAATTATTCCTTCGCGCTCCTTTTCTAACTTAACTGAGACAAGTATTTGCAAGGTCCCTAGTACAATAAGCTAGATACCTATTTTAATGTTGTGTGTAGAAGTCAGTAAACTTAGTATACTGTAATTGTACAGTTTCTGATTTATGTTCGTTGAGCGAGATGTATGAAATATGATATTAATGATCGTGTTAAGCAAGTACTACTACTGTATTCTCAATGCGGATTTTATTTATTTTAAGAAAACAATAAAATCCTTCACTGCGCGCGGGGGTATTGTAACGTAGTAAATTAATAATATTTTATTTATTTTATTTAGGATGTATTCGGAAGAGTCCCGTGTCCAACAGTGGAACGTATACCTTAGAGTTATCGAACGAGGAATGCGCGCGAGCCATTTTTTTTATAGGCGACAACTGGTTCGGTTCCTCGCCCCCTTTGCGGGGTATCAGGCAAGCCGCTGTCCCGCTACCGCTTGGACGACGGCTCACTCCAAAATCTATCTTGAAGAGAGACGCACGCGCATTTTCTCGTAATAGCGATTTCCGCAAAGTTAATATTTTTTCGTAATTTAAAGTATTTAAATCGTTTGTGTTTTTAAACCCACTTGTTTGGTAAGTGTTGAACACGTAACTTTCTTTTACCTATATTATGCCTTCTTGTAACGCCTATTTAAATTGTAGTCGTAACGGTTTCTTTTTTGATTTTGAATGTTTGTCTATTTTTTTTAATTTGAAATGTTTTGGAATTTCCATGTTACTCCGTTCTGATTGTGACAATCACGCAACACTGCATTGATAACATGGTGCTTTTCCCCACCTCTTTGTTCACTGCCGTTGTCACAATCAGGGGAGCAAACCGTGGACAGTGCTAAGTGGACCTATGGGTATTCCAGGGTCCGAGGTTCCGGTACCTTACTACCGTTCTCCTCGTCGGCTGGCCTGAGCCCAGAGAGCGACATCGTGCCCCGGACATCTATCCGGCGGACACTCACAACCCGCACCCCCGGACTTCATTTCGGCGGACGGATCCGTTCCTGTCCCGGTTACCTCAACCCCGGACGTTACTTCGGCGGAACAGCCAGGGGAGTACCAGCTGCTGGTCGTAGGAAGGCAAAAGTTCAGTGAATAACCGTTGGGTTTTAAAATAACGAACCGCGCCCAAATAAATTTTGTTTACAAGGGTATTCCTTCTTTTATTTAGTTACCCCGTAACACAGGACTAGAGCATGTGTCTGTAATACCAATCTAGGGCTACTTTGTATTAATAATAATCTCAGTACAGAGTACTAAACAAACTTTAAATTATTTTCCAAGTTTTATTGAAATCGGTTACCGGAAGGTGCGCGACACCGGATTAATCTCCTAGTTTGCCACACTTAGAGGTGACCACTATTGAGGCATCCTCTTTCTAACAAAAAAAGAATCATCAAAATCGGTTAAAAAGTAATTTTATTTTCTGTGTGTAACAAATGCGAAAACCTAAGAACTCTATATTAATTAATACCGTTTGATTTTGTCTATGCGATATCCTCAAATTAAGGTATTTATTTACCCAAAACCTATTCAGATAAGCGAGAAATTCTGTCCGAGAGAAATCACGTTAAACTGATTGCATTCTGCGGTCACCCATTTGGATTCCAACGTTTCACAAGATCACTTAACATGCGCAATTATGCATTGAATGGGATACCTTACACGACTTTACTGGGTACTACAGTAATAAATTCAACGAAATTTGACTATAAAGTAAACTCTAGGCATTCAGTTCGATGTTTCAAAGTTATAAAAAATTGGTTTCACGAGGTTTAAAACTATAGTGAAACAAAAACTTTATACTAAAGGTTATTATACAACTTCTGCGTACTTGGATGACAAAAATCCGTGGTAGTAAGCCGTTTAGCTCATGGAGGTAGTCTCGATCTCTGATGTTTCAAATAAAAAAAAATATTGTAAATGTTATTTACAAAGAGCAACCCCTAGAGTTTCTTGCTCATTCTTCTCAGGGGAATCTGCCTTACGAATGAGCGGTAGAGTTTAACTATTGTGACGATTTCAAGTGTAATAATGCTTACCTATGAAATAAAGATTATTTTGAATTTGAATTTGAATTTGGTTTTTCGTCAGAATGCCCAATCTTTTTCCGCAACACTAAACAGTGAATTCTATTTATATTAATAATCCATTTTTGTTTGAAATTGTTTTCAGTTAGTCTTTTCAAGCAAAACAACGTTCATTATTATTACTGATACAAAGATCGAAGATAAAGAAAGTTCCTGCGATCTGGCTGGACTTATAACAATGTTTGTTTTTTTAATACCAAGCAATGAGACGAACACATCGTGCCTCTGGTGGTAAGCAATACGCCTCCATAATCAGTCGCTTCTAATCTAAGCTTTAGAGAGAGAATAAGAGCTTTCAATCGCAAAGACCTGAGGGGCACTGTCACTGCACCCATCTGTAATTTCTTATCATTTTCTAGACAAAGGGTGCATTCCCATTATGTCGTAAGGTTTTAGACGTCAGTCGCTTTTAGCCTGTCCCCATATCGTGACTGTATCATAGACTTTTTTTTATCATTGTTCGACTGTCGTGTCTAGCTATTCTCATTGAATCGTGTTGATAATTTATCGGTTCACACCATCAGCCACCTTGTCATTTGCATGACATAATCGTTTGATGTACAGCTGAGGGTGCGGGGGATGAGACAGGAGAGTAAGAAGCAGAACACGTGCAGACAATGATAAATTAAAACGTGACCACAACAGTGGCTACGATTATCTGTCCTTTTATTTATCGTCAGACGACTGTCGTTTCTGGCTCTTCCCATTGTCTTGACAGTTTGTCATCGTAACACCAAAAAAGTCGTAAACGACGATTAATCGTGAACAATTTCATTTAAACAAACCACGACACTTTAAACTGTACGACTATCAGTCATCACGACGTAATGGGAACGCATCCTAATGGCTTGTCGCAATAGTTTTAATTCGTTGCACCTAAGTGTTGCAATGATTTGCCTCCTCAAATAATAAACTTTAAGTCATCTTGGATTTTCAGAAGGAAATGTAAGCTTTGGTTACTTTCGATGCAAGTAATTGGATGTAGCTTCATCGTCCAGCGAATTTATACATAGCTTTTTTTATTTTATTTTTTAGCAATAAATACCAAAAATAGGCCGTCACCTTTAAACATAAGTTGACGAGTCTGTATAGTTAATAACCTACATTACAAAAATGTGTATGCTGCAATATTGGCTTACGCGTGGCGTGTGCTGCGTTATTTCAATCAGTGTGCATCGAACACTCGAGTCGTTTATTATATCATTATCAATGTAAGTAAATCAGTGTATCATTTGTCTTATCATATATATATCATTTATCAATTATTATTTAGTGTAGGCTCATCCTACATTTTGGTCCTTCGAGCCGGATCGTCTGGCGTGCGGGAAAATCATACGCAGGACCTCGCGTTGTGATCTACGTTGGTTATTCGTGAAAAACTGCGTCTTTTCGTGACAATTGTGAACATTTTATCATTTAATATGCTTAACATTGTATCATTACAGTACAAGTAAGATCGTTCTTATTTTAATTTTATCACTATTTTATCAACTATCATCATGGAATCTGATTTTGCGAGACAAAGCGCTATCATCAATGAGTCGGAGAGGATCAATGTAAACTTTAAAAAGGATGGTGCGGATCGTAAAACTAGGGAATACATAGACAAGCGCATTAAGGCACTCGATGAATTGTGGCCGGAATTTAGGGATACTCATTCGAAACTAGAAATGGTTGAAGACAAGTCCCAAGAATATTATACGAAAAATATCTATCAAAAAACGAAAGAATATTACGAATTAGTTAGACAGATGTTATGAGTTTATCTGCCTACTCCGAGAGTTCCGGCGGCATCGGTGGGCACACCTGGCCCTTCCAACCATACCCCTTCGAAACCAGAGGAAAATACTACTACAACCTTTAACATCCCGAAGGTTGTAACCGCAGATGTTCGAATAATACAATTGAAGAGTTAATGGCACAACAAAATTCAAATATCAGAGCTTTCTATAGAACAATTCAACATATTCACATTGAGAGCATTGATGAATAATGAGAATTAGAAGATGAGATCAAAAATTTACAACGTCGATGGAACATCATCGACGAACTACATTTACGTATCGATTGCATTTTAGGATCTAAGGGTCCAATGCCGCATATGAAGAACATTTTCTAAAAGCTGAAAAGAAATATCATTTATACAAGGAGCTTAACAGAAGGCTATCATCTATAGCACACCTACAACAATCAACTCCGAAAGTTGAGATTCCTATATTCACAGGCAAGTACACACAATAGCCCACCTTTTACGATTGTGGCGATGCATGACAATCGTTGCCTCAATAAAGCTCAGAAAATACAACACCTGAAAAGCAAAGTTAGAGGTGAGGCTGAACGCATAAAACAGCATCTGCACATAACGGCGGAGAACTACGACACCGCTTGGGATCTTCTAACGCACAGGTATAACAATCCTAATGCATTATTTACGCACCAAACAGAGCTATTCTTAAATCAACCACCGTTACAAAAACAATCATCAAATGAATAAAACACTTGTACGATACGACAATGGAAACCGTACATGTTATACATAACCTTGGCGTGGATACGCAAACTTAGGACCCTATATTAGCCCATTTGATCGCCAAGAAATTAGACTATAAAGAATCATTGGATTCACCGCGTGATTTACCATCATTTGCGTCATTGGACCCTTCGTAACGTCTTCAGAGCTAGTCCACGCTCGGCTTGGCCGCGCTCACGATATAAAAAACCGTTAACGTATTTTACAAAGTGCAAAATTTTATTGTAAATCAAAGATTATTATATATATATTGCTTTCCAATCACATTAAACGTACTTAAATCGCCAAAGTGAAAGTTCCCGCTTTAGGGAGTTACCTTCGGATTAAACTACCTTCGGGTTGGAAAACTACTTTCGAGTTGGAAAGCTACCTTTGCTGATCTTCCTTCGGGTTCATACACCTGGCGCTTGACTACGTCCGAACAATGACGAAGCATTTCCGCTAAACGGCTACCAATTGCTGCTCGTCCTGTGGCCCTTCTTCTGCGCCAGTAAATATACAGGAGAGTACCATACTCGGAAGTGGAAAACCTAAAGTCTTAAGACACGTTACCACGACCCGTAATATATTTTTGTAAATTTAAATTTTAAATTGTACATTTTTTTTATCATAATTATTTCAATTTTCAGATGTCTTTGGTTTGATTTTCTACCTTCATAGGGAAAATAAAACTAGGGAATCCAACCCGGTACTACATTAGTACTTTAAGGTGGGTAAATGTAGCGGTAGCTGTAGAGCTCCTTGTGACAGAGTTCGTCCATGGACTATTCTGCTGCCAAGCAGTAATGTCAGCATTATTGTGTTCCGGTTTTAAAGGGTAAGGGTGCTGATGAAATTACGAGCACATGGGACTTGTCAACTTATATTTTTTAGGTGACGGGCGCAGTGGCAATATCTCTCAAAACTCTGAGTGGCACTACAACTGTTACGGACAGGCGTGTAGCGTACCATCAGGCACACAACTCGTTCGTCCCGTGACTGGATATTATAAAAAAAAGAAATATGTATATAAACGTTGGTACTTTTTGGGTATAGCATCATTTTCGGTGCGTTGTCCATAATCAACATGTTTTTTTGGATAATAAAATTATTTTGATTGTTTATAATCAATATTACTGCTTGGCGGCAGAAATAGGTAAGGAGGCAGTACTTCCCTGGACGAACTCTTTCACAAGGAGCTCTACTACTTTTAAATTATGCTATTTAAAAAACGACTAAACAACTTCAAAACTAATATAACATGAACTTGCTTAAACAATATCCGAATTTTTTAATAACAAATCTTCTTTTTTAAAGCACAAAATCATAGCTTCATTGTCAAATTTTTAACCGACTTAAAAAAAGGAGGATTTCTCAATTCCACTGTATGTTTTTTATTGTATGTATGATTTTGATGATTCCTTTTTTGTTGGAGAGAAGATACCTCAGATATTGTCCCATTTAAATTTGAAGAAAATATTCCACTTCCAAGGGTGGCAAACTAGGGGATGAATGACTTATGAGATCGGTTTTTTTAGTACTCTATACGGAGATTATCTATATTGTAGACATTTGTATATTTATTTTGACGTTATTTAAATACCATCATCGTATACCTATGTTTTTTCTCTATTTTTTTTTTAAATAATAATAATAATAATATAATAATAACAATCTTCATTTCTCTCACAAAGTTATCCTATAAATAAGTAATTAACATTATGGACTTATTATTAGTACATCTTTGTACGAGACTGGAGTCCATACTAGGATTTGACCTGTGTTACGGATCTCCAGGCACTCACCAACCGGACTTCGCACTGTATTCTACATAATATAAGAGCGTTACCATGTTCTAAATTACAGAGAGCGGGTTTTATACAAGATTATTTTAATAATATAAGAAAGTAATGGAATAAAAGAAAATTGTGTGTGTGTGCGAGTGTGTGTGTGTGTATTTTGTGTGAGTGTGCGTACATGTGTGTGTGTGTGTGTGCGTGTGTGTGGTGTGTTTTTTGTGATATTGTGTTGGTGCTACATGTTAGGTGAAGCAGCCTAGGTGTGGAGGTCATAGAGTTTGAATAGCTAGGAGGATCTTCATTAAATATTTAACATGTAGTTACATTTTACAATTGCTATCGTAAAAATTTACCAAATTAACTACCATCGCGTTTAAACTACTGACTGAATAATTACAAACATGTATGCACGAGCAACTGTTATTAGTAAAAAAAAAACAACATTTTACACCTGTACAAGTGCGTGTTAGCACATGTTCAACATCAATATCTTTGTGTGGGTACCTATTGACCTACATAATGAAAGTATACTCATCGTATTACATGTTCATTTCTATACAACCTGTATTTTCACAAATAAATAAATTATGAAATTTAAAAATAACAATACTGAAGGTTAGAACATTTCTTGTGTATGTCAGTGTTCTATAAATTACTTTTCGATCTTTATTCACTTTATTATAGAGGGTGAAAAATAAAGGCCTATATGGTTGTTTTAGTGATGTACCGCCCACTGCTCGCACTTATATTTTTTGTCGTATAAAAAAACCCTATCAGCATCATAGCAATAATTTTTTTTAAATAATTATTAAATTTCTTAGTAACACTAATTGGACCGTTTATTTTAAGAACATTTATTAATAACTGCCTATGAAGTCGAATTCGAAAATGTAATGATTATAATTTTCTTAATACAGTTGCTCAAAACGTATTTTTCGTACTACAAATCGTGCCGAAACTTGAATTTTTCACACTAGTGCTTTTTAGTTTTCAATTATATTTTTTAATTTACTGTTGTTTCAAGTCTTAAACATAAAACTGAAGAAGTTGCATATTTATTTAATATTCATGTGCTTTGTGACGAAAGTCATTCATCATTAAAACTTATATTTGCTTACAAACATCTTATTTGTTTAAATTGCATAGGTGTTTTGTAAAATAAAATGAAATGAAATGAAATATTTATTCGCAAGCAAACACGGTAAGAAAAGATATTATTATACAAGGTGTCAAGAACACGTGTTGCACCAGATACTGGCACGCAAATATTAAAATAAATTGAAGTTAAATAATGTCATAAATTAAAATTATACAATTTGTCAAATAAGCAATGTCGTATAAAATTAAGTCAAAATGCCAATAAATAGCAACAGTAACAACATCATAAATTAAACAATATCAAAGAAGTAAGAACAGCACAAATATAAAGAAAGTGTCAAATACAAACAAAATGTCAATTTCTTTTTATTATTAAAAAATCTTTGATATCGTATAAACACAGATCACATAGCAAATCAAATAACTTTTTTTTAAATATTTTGATAGGTAAATCTGCGATAGCTGCAGGCAAGGCATTATATATTTGTATGGACATGTTATAGCAATTCCTGTAAAAGCAAGTAGTCTTATGGGAGGGGCCAGCTATACGGTTTGGATATCTAGTTAAAAAATTACATACTTCACGTTTCCTAGTAAATAAGACCAAGTTTTTTTTAACAAATATGCATACCTCATATACGTACATGGCGGGAAGCGTTAGAAGATTTAGCTTTCTAAAAAACGGTCTACAAGATTCGAGCGGACCTACTCTACATATAGCTCTGACATATTTTTTCTGGATAGCAAATACACGGTTTATCTCTACGCAGTTCCCCCAGATGATGAGGCCATACCGCAAGCTTGAGCAGACAAATGCATGGTAGGCCATCAAGGCAGTCCTCTGATCACATATGTGCGTTAGACGATGTAAACCAAATACAAATCGATTCAGCTTTGCACATATTGAATCAACCAGTGGTTTCCATGTTAGTTGAGAGTCCAATACTATGCCGAGAAAATTGCTGGATGAGCATTCCACAATTTCATCTCCATGACAATTTACAGAGAGTTTTTGGGGTTTTCCATTATGGTTAGAAAATTGTATGAGCTTTGTTTTTGAAACATTTACTTTCAGATTATTTCTCTTAAGCCAGTCAATAATGTTACATATAGTGTCATTTATTTCTTTTTCATAATCTATGTCAGAATTCTTATTAATAATGATTGATATGTCATCTGCAAAAAGAGTGCATGGATATTTTGTCATTTCAGGGAGGTCATTAACATACAATAAAAACAGCAATGGACCTAAAATACTTCCTTGAGGCACACCGTATTTATTAACTTTAAACTCTGATCTGTGGGTCTCAATCTCATTATTATTATTTAACTTCACTACCTCTACACACTGAGTTCTGTTGCTAAGGTAACTTGCTATCCAGTTATGCACCTGGCCACGAAAACCGTATCTTTCTAATTTGGATAGTAGAGTTCTATGGCAAACGTAATCGAAAGCTCTACTCATGTCAAATAAAACAGAACAGACAGGTACTTTCTTATCTGCAAAAGTTGAGATATCTTTGATTACCCTGAAACATGCCTGTGTGGTAGATTTTCCCTTTTGAAATCCAAATTGTTCTACTTTAATAATGTTGTACTTTGATAGGAAAGCCGTAATTCTTTTATGCATTACCTTTTCAAAAAGCTTTGATATTACAGATATAAGTACAATAGGTCTGTAGTTTTCCAAATGGTCTTTTTCGCCCCTCTTAAACAGCGGTTTTATTATGGAGATCTTAAGAGGCGATGGAAATGTACCCTCCATGAAGGACAGGTTTACCAAGTATGCCAGCAATGGTGATAGTTCATCAGCACACAATTTAAAAACCTTAGTGCACACGTCATCGTAATCGGTAGAGTTTGTGTTGTTGAGGGATTTTATTAAAATTTTTATTTCCGCTTCGTCCGTGGGATATAAAAATAAACTTGACTCATGCACCTTTGGTAAAAAAATATCGTTACTATCTTGTCCTGGGTCCGTAGTTGATAGGTTTAAATTT